CAAACGGATGGGCACCAGCCTGTGACAGTCCTGGCCCAAAACAGTGTCCTGTCCCTGCAAAGGCAAGTGGCAGCTGTGAGCCTGGCCTCTCCCTCTGACCTCCTGGGGAAATCCTGCTCACAGCCTGTGCCCTGATTTCCTTCTGTGGCTGAGGCTGCTTCCTGCTGTGCTGCAGGGTTGCAGTGTGAGCCCAGGCATGAGGAAGGCAGGTTGACTTTTTGCTCGTTGTGGTGCTGCCTGGATTTTGGGATGACCATCCTGTAAAGTTCCTTTTCACAGTTCCCCCGATCTTCCTCGTGGCAGAAGGGGTGCTTTGCCCTCTGGTATTTAGTGCACTTTGTGCAACCCAAGTTCTGTGTGTTTGGGTAGTTTTTTGGTCTTGGAGCTCCAGAGACAGAGGGAGGATCCTTGAACAGGCACTGGCAACAGCTCTGTCTGGGAATGTTCATGTGCTGCATCCCCTCGTGGTCTGGGGTACCAGCCCCCAGCAGCATGCCTGGCACACCAAGCATGTGTGAGAGCACACACGTGCACACCCGTGCGAGGAACAGGCTCTTCCCCCAGCGCCCACACCTGTATTTTCCTAACCAAGGGAGTACAATGCACCTCCAGGCAAGGAAGCCTTGGGGGAGTGGATATGAGGCTTGGAGAGCAAGCACTAAATCAGAGCATAAGTGCAGCATCCCAACATGGTTATCCTGCTGGAGCCTGAACCATTGCAAGAAGTGGTGTCCTATAGGATAAACCAGTAAGGAGACAACCCTAGGTCTAAAAGCTTAGCTTTGATCACACCAGACAAGACTTTCTTTGTCTCTTTCCTTCTTTTCATTTCATAAATTATGCCAGTCTCCAACCTGATGCTTGCCCAAAATCCCACCCCCTTTCCCCTTCCCAGCTCTTTCCTTCCAGGACAATTAGTAAAGTGTTTTGTCTTTCATTTGGATGAATAATTAATTTCCCAGCTTTGTGAATGATTCATGTGCCATATGCTATGGCGATGGGACGTGCCTGACACGGACACCTCGTACAAAGAGCAGCACGTTTCCCTGGCCCAGCAAGGGGATGGGGTGGGTGAGGAGGGAAAAGGCTTTGTGCTCCTGGAGATGGATAGTAGGAGACCCCT